TTTCAATACATTTTCCATCACATAATCTGGTTAGCCACCACTAACTCTTTCCATCTAGAATGCAACACTCTTTCTTATACACGATACTATATCTTTGTTTCAAATTCATATCTCTTATTCCATTTATCTTATAAACTGATCACTAATTCACTTATTCTTGAACTTTTCTACAAATTCTAATCACATCGTTAGATCTTTTAACTTTCTTATGGTGAAACTTGTTCACCATATTCTATCTTATTCGTGTAATAACAAAACTATTCCATATCACTTTCCCGGTTCAAAACAGTAAAGACCTTCTATCACTATTAAGATATGATTTCAACTTTTTGAAATCAACCTTTGACCTTACAAGGCACTTCCTGAGGTGTCCGCTCTTCATCATGCCTGGCCAGGGCAGGTGAATAGCTACAACAATCAGGAATATCACCTTTCACTTTATTTCGGAATTATCATAATCATACTTCTATTATAACTTAGTAATCTAATTCTATTAGCAAGACAACACACTCATTACACTATCATATCAGAAATTGTCAGTTTATGTTGGCATGTACACATTTTTAAAACTCATTTGACTTCGGTTTAAGCCTAGAATCGTCTAAACCTTAGCTTTGATACCATTAAATGTAATACCCCAACCCGTACCCGACCCGAATACGAGTCTGAGGTGTCACATTGACTACTCAAAACATTTACTTTTACAAAATACCCAAGATTCAATTTGATATTTCTAATAAAACCATTTATTTTCTATGATATAAAACATATGCTTTTACAAAACTGATCAGAGCGCATCTAATACAAATCTTTTAATTACATGCCAACTAAATTCTATATATAACAAAATACATGTTATTCATTTAGGTTCTGATCTGACATTCGGTAAGGAAAAACTAACATGTCTTGCTCCTCTTAGCTTCTCTTCCTGGTTTCCTAAACCTACGTGTGAAACACTCACACGCTAAGTCATAGACTTAGTGAGACATATAAATACATATGTAAATCATCAAATGCATGTACATATCATGTAATACAACGTCATACTGGTATACATACTTTTTCATGTAACAATTACATACACACATGCATGTCACCATTTATATTTTCTCATACTCTTATATGGTTATCCTTTCTATCTCTTATCTCTTTTTCATATGATCTCTTATTTTCATATTCTATATCTTATAACATGTTCTTACATCATCATATGAGTCCTTGATATTCATTCATATATATACCTTAACATATATTCATGTACATCCCATAACAAATGTTATAACCCATAACACACATTCTTTCCTGTAATATATACAAACATTCACATATATCATCATATAAAACATGTAACACATTTCTCATTGCAACTCACATTTTATCGTTATCATTTTTGTTAGCCCATGCACACTTCTGAGAACTTAAGGTATGTGAGTACATAGAGGTTGTGCACTATGTTGTCACCACAGCTCGTATAATTCCCACTAGGGGTGCATAGAATTTGTCTCGAAGGACCATGTAGATGTCCCGAAAGACCACTTATAACACATATGTCCCGAAGGACCACTATGTCCCAAAGGACCGCATAGACCCTCGACTCTTGGCATGCCAACTATACCTATAGCTCTCATAACACATGACATGGGCATTATCTTTTACCTCATTACACATTCACATATTCATATCACATAGTCACGTAGTTTACTTTCACGTAGCATTTTTCCATGAAATTCACATTCACGTATCACATAACTTTCCACTTGTACTTGTATTCTTTTTTTTTTCATATAGCTCATAATTATGATTCTTATCTCATAACATATATTGACATCACTCATATAACATACATAGCATATCGTGTAACGTTCTCATAGAAACACATATGAGTTATATCACTTTCACATATATTTTATCATATATCTTATCTCTTATGATCATATAACCTATTATCACACATACATGCATTCAAAAGGTTCACATATAAATATACATTCGACAATTAAACCTATGCATTTACTCATATACTTCTAGCACCATATTATTACAGGATCATGCTCAGGTACTTTTAAACATCATATCATATTATATTTATATTATTGTACTCATGTCATCTATTATCGGAATTAGACTCATCGCAAGTCTTAATTCCATAAACATCATGTACAGTTAATATCATGTACTCACCTGGTCTCACTAGTCAATATCGATCTGTTATATTTTCCTTGATCGATCTTATTTGCCAAGTTCCATAACTTTTTTAGGCTCTGTATAAACATATTAATTTATTGATACTAATCAGTATATTAATTAATATATTCTAAACTATCATTTCTTGGGCTAAAAGAAAAGTCATTTTCATCTTTTAATGAATGTATGCATAGATGCACCACACCTTGCATCGATGCATAAATCCTATTCGATGTTTACATTTAAGGGGTGCATCGATGCACTACTTGTGCATCGATGCACTGATGGCATTCGATGTTCGTATTTTAGAAGAGTGCATCGATGCACTTCAGGCGCATCGATACACCTTGAACAATTTCTGGGATTTACCCTTGATGCATCGGTGCACATTGAATGTGCAGCGATGCACATAGCCCAGAATTCCAATTTATACCTGAAAATCCACTCTTTTCAGCTTAATTACTTCATATATCATCCCTTTTTTTTATTCTTAACTTACATATACATGTTTAAACTCATTTATATTCATTTATCTCGTCTTTAACCTTAATATCCTCTCCTCTTCATTAACTTCAAGAATCATACCAGATTTTCAACATGTTTTAAAACTCATTCTATCACTTCACATCTCTTAATTTAACCCTTGACAAGTCAAATTCAACTTCAAAATCTATTAACTCCTTATATTTCAAAAATTCACTTAAAAACTCATTTTATTTAATCTATTCTATATCTTTCATCTTGTTGTTTTAGAACAAATTAAGCTTTCCTTAAGCTTAATTATCCTCTAATGATCATAACCCAACCTTAAAATCAATAATTAATCCACAAGCAAAGAAACTCACCTTTGAGCTTGGAGATACAGGAGGAAGAAGAAGAAGTGTAAAGAATGCTCTGGAGAAATTATCTCATTCCCACGTGCTTATTACCCTTTATAAAGGGAAATAAAAATCTTTCCTAAAAAATGACCATAATAACCTTGTTACTTCAAACTTTGTTATTTAAATCCAACATCAATACTTTTCATTTAAATCCCTAAACTTTCAATCTCTTCTGAGATTGGTCACTAAATTACCAAAAATTCTATTTTGGTTATTGACACGACTTTTGGGATGTTACAATAAGGACCACATAGAAATTCCTTAAGAATCATATATATATACCAAGGGTCAAGTAGGTGTCTCAAATACCTCATACATGTTCCAAAGAATACATATATGTCCCGAATAACCATGTAGAATTTTGTCCCGAAGGACCGCGTAGACCCTCTACTCTTGGCATGCCAACTATACCTCTAGATCTAATGACACATAACATGGTCATTATCTTTCATATTTATTACATATTCACATCGACACATAGTTCACTTACACGTAGAACATTTTCATATGATCCATATTCACATGTCACATAGCTTATACCTTGTTCTTATGTCTTCTCATAGACAAATATTCTTTCTCACGTAGTCACATAGATCCATATCATATAACATATATCACATGTGCATGTAATCATATAAATCATATCATATAACTTATATTATTTCTCATGTGTTCATGTAAACATGCATGTCATATTTTGTTCACATATGTTCATATATACATCATATATCACATATTGCATATTCATGTAAGCATGTAGATCATGTAACATATAATAACATACACCCATTTCCATGTACTAATGCACACATAAGAATCACATAACATTTTAAAAGTTACTTCTTACCACAGTAACTCTGTCATTGGCTCATCGCAAGCCAATGTTTATTCAATAACATACGTACAATTCAATTGCACTCACCTTAGCCTTGCTTTGATTCGATCCTAATTCTTTGATTGTTTCGAAACTTGTTTAGGCTCAATATCTACATAAATATAACATTTTAAAATAATTATCAGAAGCTTAAACCTTAAACTTGATGTTAATAACTTAAGCTGGTTTAATGAACCAAAATTCCATTTTTTTCTTTAGGGGGGAATCGATACCCCCAGGGGGTATTTGTATCCCCTGCGTAATCTGTAAACCCAAAATTTTACTTTTCTAATACAAAAATTCACTATTTCTAGCTTCAATTCTTCATATTTCATTCCATTCTCTATTATTAACTCAAATATACATACTTAAACTAATTTATATCCATTTATTTCATCTTAAACCTCAAAATTCTATTCTCCATATAGAAATCAATAATCATACCAAATTTTCCATGTTATCCAAACTTAATTCTAACACTTCTAACTTCTTATTCTCATAGATGACAAGTCAAATTCATCCTCCAAATTCATTTAAACCTTCCTATTCAAAATTTCACTTTAAAACCCATTTTCTTTAATATGTCATAACTCCTTTATCTTTTGATTTTAAGATAAGTTAAGCTTTCCTTAAGCTTAGTTATCATCTAATGATCAAAACCCAACCTTTAATTCAACAAATAACCAACAAAATAGAAAACTCACCTTTGAGCTTGGACATACGAGAGGAAGAAGAAGATGAAGAAGGGACAAGAGTTTGTAGATAACTCCCCCACCCCACGTGAATCATTCATATAAAAGGGGGGAATATATTTCTTGTCAAATGATCATTTTGCCCTTTAATTCCTTTGATAATTACTAATAACTTTCCGGAAATATTTCTGAATAAATCATTGAACTATTGAACTATTCTACTTTAATCACCAAATTCCAAAATTTTACAATTTAATCACTAACCCGTAATTTGGGATGTTACAAATATAATATTACTAAAAACAAAACAAACACAATCATAAAGTTAGCATCAGATGCTAAGTAAAAGAGAATCAGAAGAAAACAAAATCAGAAGAAAACACCCCTTTGATCAACAACATCTACAGAAGCAGAGCAAGCAAGCAGGTTATTGAAAAACCTAAACAATGCAACCTTAATTTTCCTCCAAACCAAACACTTCCTTCTCCTCATACGTCTCCTTTGTATGCTCTTCTTCCACCTCTTCCCCATTTTCTCTTTAGCTCTCCCAAAGTATTTCAAACTCTTTTCAGCCACAATTTCTTTCCTTGAAAACCTATAGCTCCTCAGATACATCTGCCTACACGACACACCATCCACCACTCTACTATATCCACCATCCACGGTGGTGCGCGAGCTCCTTGACCTCAAGAACTCAGCATCCGACTCGGGCCACTCGTAGAGATTCACATATGTAGCCCTAAATGGTACCCGAGTGTCTCTAGCGTCCGTCAAACAACTGGAAATGCAAACAGATCTCATTTTATTCAAAGGGCTTTTCCTTTTCGGGGGAGTTTTGTAAGTTTGAACAAAGTTTAGGTTGCAAGGACAGGTTATATATACAATGAAAAGAGAGGGAGATGATGGGGATGGTTACAGTTGGTTGAAAATGGGATTATTATTTATAGCAGTGAATGAATGTTTTCTTTTAGTAATGGTGGTCGTGTTTAGGCAAATAATAGATAGGCTGCTCTTTTTTATTTTATTGGGTAAAGTACATAATGGTCCCTAGATTATTGGGTGTTGCTTTGTTAAGTTCTCTGATCATTAAAAGTTACAGAACTGTCTTATGATTATAATGCATTATTTTGGTGAGTCCTCCAACAAATATTAAAAGTTATAAAATAATCTATGATTATAGGGTGTTGCTTTGTTGATTCATCAGACAATTAAAAGTTACAAAATGGTCATCCACATATTCATATATTTCAAACTCGTCTTTTTCTGTTAAAAAATTGACGGTCATTTTAGCTTGACGTTAACCATTGGGATATGATAAAATCTGATCACAGAACCGTTTAAGCTGTATTTTTTGGATCAAGTCTTCGTTTACATATGTCGTCAAGTCAGAGCTTGAAACATTATGCCATCGAGTCAGTTCTTGAAAGCAACGATGGTGCTGATAGACGTCACTAAAATACAATTTTATCATATCCCAACCATCAGGTTAACGTCCAGCGCAGATGCCCATCATTTTTTAAGGGAAAGAACGAGTTTAAAACATATAAATAATCAAGTGATCATTTTATAACTTTTAATAGTCAGAAAACTTAAAAAGCATTCTATAGTTGAAGGACAATTCCATAACTTTTAATAATAGATGTACTCAGTAAAATAATACCCTATATAATTAGGACCATTTGTGTACTTTAAGTCTTTTAACCCTATTTTATTTGACCGAAATGGCCCTTACACTGATTTTATTCTGGCAAGTTCGAGCATAGGTAAGGAGCTTCAATGTGAACTAGCTAGCGGTTGAATGTGTAATAAAACCCCCAAAAAGAAAAAGAAAAGGATGGTGAGTCAAATAAAACAAAAATGAAATAGTATTCTTAATCTATGAATTCTACCTTTGACCTCCAATGTTATCCTCTATTTCTCTACCTTTGCAGTCTTTCTAGAAAAGTGACATATAATATATATATTCTCTGCGAATACAAAAGGGAAAAAGAAGTCATGCCAAAGTAAGTAGAATTTAATGGAGCCCGTGCGATCCCCCGTGCCTCTCGCATGCAAAACGAACGCTCTATCATTTGAGCTATAACCCTTGTCTTTTTAATGCTTCAACTTATATTTATAAATAGAATTCCAAACATCCCTTTTGTAACTGCTAGTTGGTGTAATTTGTTGATCGGATATTTTTTGCATAGGATGCTCTGGTGAAGAACCACCTCCGTCATTTATAATTACCGTTATTACTGGTACTAGTGAAGAACCAGCTTTGTTGTTCAATACGCGCCACTTTTATCTTGATTCTCCGTGGCAAAAGACGGCTAATTATCAGGTACAACATGAGAGGCAATCTGCATATGACGCTTCTTGTGGTGGCTACTGGGGAGATGATCTCTTCTCTGGTAGTTGTTGGTACAGAGTGGATGTTGATGGGTGAAATGACCTAGGGGCAAACACTAATGGTTTGTGTTTGAAAAAAAAAAGATGAGAGAGGTGGTGTTGAACGACATGCTGGGGAAGAAGGTGCGGGTGAAGTGCAACGAGGACGACACCATCGGTGATAGTAACCTGTTTGAATCCAAAAGTGGTGCACCGTGGCATTTACAAGGACCACATAATCCTCTACGAGATTCACGATGGCATAGGCCTCGAGGTCTACTACAACTAATCAGTAATCCTTCCCTTCTTTCGGGTTTATGCTCATATAACATGATGAAGATGAAATAGGGACTAAAGATTTCTTTCAACTATAAGGAAAGATGATTGACATGCCCTTCAAGAAAGTGTTGATATTCTAGCCGGTAATAGTTCTGTTAATGAACCCAACTTTGCAGCTATTTGGCTAATACCAAAAAAGCGTATGCTGTCAAGATTGAATTATGAGGCGTAAATTGCTTGTTTTGAAATGAACAGGGTTCTAAATAGTAATTAAATCATAAAAATTAAGAGAATGAAGATTTAATTCCACTAATTTTAAAATTATTTCTTTAAAAGTAATTCAACCGGAAAAAAATGAGGGCCAAGTTTTAACCTTATTAATTTTAAAATCGACATAATTTTAAAATATAATTAAATCAGTTGTTTTTAAAGATGCAAGAGCTTAATTGTAATGGTTTCAAAACTATCATAGCTTAAAATGTAATTAAATCATTAATTGGCCATGACCCCTCCCACTACAACGTGCCTCTGTTAAGAGTGAGTATTCGATCGAGCCGAGTCAAATTTTTTTGAATTGTTCGAATTGATGAGTCCTATTTTACAACTTAAATTTTATTTGAAATTTTTTCGAGTCAAATTCGAATCAAATCGGGTTATTCGAGTTTATGTTTAAATTTAATTATAAATATATATAATATCATGGTACTATTTGCTTCCAATTTAAACCGTTTTCTATAAACATATATAATATATATTTATTTACATTTTTTTCATATGTGATATACATGTTCATACAGAATTGAAAGACTCTGCTTAAACTTGAAAACAAATCCTCTAATTACTAAAAGTTTTGAATTATTCGAATTAATATTCGAGTTCTATTTTATAACTCGACTTCAGTTTGAAAATTTTGAGTCGAGTTTTGCTCACGCCTACCTCCGTACATGCATGTTGCTTATTCTATATAGAAAACATTTCATGTAGAAAATATGGGGAGAGCCGCTTAACTTCCTTGCTTTCCATATACCATATGGAAGGTGTTTTCTTCCTCAAACGAACTTCAGATGCACCCGTAAAGCTAGAAGTCTAACAAGTTAGCTTTTAAGAAGAAAAATAAAGATGAATAAATGATGTTATGTGAATAATGAAGCAGAAGAAAAGATGAATGAACGAAGAATATAAAATTCACGATATTCTTAACCACAGTTTCTCTCCCGGAAAACATATAATACCTCCTTAATCTGCCTACACGAAACATCGCCGTGCATGGTGGCACGTGAGCTCATTGGGCTCACGAACTCAGCATCCGACTCAGGCCACTTGTAGAGATTCATATATGTTTCCCTTAATGGCACCCGAGGGTCTCTAGCATCAGTCAAACAAGTAGACATGCAGACGGAGCTCATTTTCTTCAAAGGTTTTTTGTGAGCTTCAAAGAAGCTTTGATTGCAAAGAAAGATTATATACATTTATATAATGGGGTGTGTGTGTGTTTAGGCAAAGAGTGTATAGGCTAATGCTGTTTTTATTCTGTTTGATTCCGAATATAATTTGCTTAGCAATAGTAAGAGTGACTAATATATGTAATTTAAAGAAATTTACTAAAGGGGTGTAGCTCAAATGGTAGAGCGTTCTGTCACGGACTTAATCTATCAATAAGCCTCGTGCGGCCTTAGCTTCTTTTCGCCCCTCGCGATAACTAAGTCAACCTCACTCAAACTCGTGCTAGTGTGGGAAAGTGTTGGAAAGGAAACGAAGAAGACAAGTAAAGAGACTTTATGGGAAAGCTTGTTTATATGGTTGAGTGCTTACAACTCTTGGATGGATTTGCAAATGAGAATCCTACACCTATTTATAGCATCCTACCTCCTCAATGGATGATGGAGATTGACTTGATCCTACGGTTGGGAGAGATTCTCTAGAATTCTTCATAATTCTCTACCTAACATGGAATACTCTAGATAATATCTAGAATGCTCTAATATGTCCAAGCATGTTCTAGAATACTCTACATATGTATAAGCCTTGAAGCTTCTAGAGTAATCTATACTATTCTATCAACCTCCAAGACCAAATATGGTCTAAAACAGCCCAAAGTGTGGGGAAGAAGCCCAATTTCGTGACATCTTCCCCCACCTATTTCGGCGTCGTCCTCGTCGCCTCGTACTCTTTGAGATGTTCTTCGAACTGCATAAGTCTTCGGCTAGTTCCCATGTTGCCTCGGACTCCGGTAGTCCTTTCCACTTGATTAAATACTCGGTACGCGGTGGGACTCCTCTCTTGCGGACCGTCCTCCTTGTAAGCACCGTTTCAACCTCTTTATCGTAAGACTTGGTTACTACGGTAGGTGCTCGATGTGAATACCCTCAGCTTGGGCCTTCATTATCGGCATGATATGGCTTGAGCATGCTTACATGGAAGACCGGATGAATCTTGAGTGTAATTGGCAAGTCCAACCGATAAGACACTTTACCTACCTTGGAAAGTACCTGGAACGATCCCTCATATCTTTGTATTAGTCCTTTGTGAACGCTTCGGGTTACTTTGAACTGTTGTGGCAAAAGCTTCACAAGGAACGGTGAATTCTCGATGTCACCTCTTTTCGTCCGCCCACTTCTTCATCTTTTTCCTAGCTTTCTCCAAGCATGCGCGGGCGTTGTCGGCGTTCTTCTCCCATGACTTGGCCATCTTGGCTGCTCCGGGACTTTTACCCCCGTCAAGTGGCGTTGTCAATGTGTGTGGCATGAGCGGTTATTGACCGGTCGCAAGCTCAAATGGACTCCGGCATGTGGCTTCACTCCGGTGCAGGTTATAAGAGAATTGGGCGACGTCTAACAACTTTGCCCAATCTCACTGGTTAGCACTTACGAAGTGCTACAAATAACACTCCAATAAAGTGTTCACCCGTTCGGTCTGCCCATTAGTTTAAGGGTGAAAACTAGTGGAGAAATTTAACTCGGTGCCAAGGAGCTTGAACAATTACGTCCATAGGCGTCCAGTGAATCGAGGATCTCAATCACTGATGATGATCCTTGGTAAGCCCCAATGCTTCACGACGTTCTTGAATAACGCTCGCGCAGCCTCCTCAGCAGTGTAATCCTTGGGGCATGGTATAAAGGTTCCATACTTAGAAAATCAGTCCACGATGACCA